CTATGTATGTTTAATAGTGAGTCATTGGTAGAGTGTTTGCCTAGCGTATGTTAGGTCCTGGACTTCACCCCCAGCAAAACACACACACACACACACACACACACACACACACACACACACACCCCAGAAGTATGTTTTTACTGTATAGGATCTGCAATAGTACACTTTCTAATCTCATGATATTAAAGAGAACATAAACCATAGTGATTGGAGAAATCTTAAGATATTTTTACACAACAGCTTTGTGGGAGATGGCAAGAAAATATAGTGAATTTAGTGTAAAGTATATATTTTAGGATTATGTTTTACTTAGTTAATATTTATAACCAATTTGTAAAATAACTTACTGTCCAATCACCCCAGTAATCCAAATCTCACAACAAATAATAATTGTGGCATTGTCAAGGGAGAAGAAAAAAAAAGAAGAAAACCCCAAACTCTCTTCAGTTAGGTCTAGTCTGACTCTTACCCAATTCTCTTGGGCTCTTGTCATCTTGTGACATATCAAGCTTGTCCATGAATACTACAAAAAGCTCCAGAAAAATTCCAACTAACCTGACATCATGTTACAAATATATTACTTATATTTATATGTATTTAAATAGTTTTTATCATTATGTTTCTCATTGGATGACAGATACTAGATTATTTAACTTTAACATATCAAAATGAATCCAAGTTTACTTTTACATTTGGAGAAGCAGAACATTGGAGAGTTTTAATGCCTGATTATAACATTTGAGGAAGAGGGACTTTGTGAAAATATTTTGTTTATTGGCATTGATTTCAGAATTGTAACCATTCATTGATACACTTCTCAGCTCAATGACAACTTTATAAGACCCTTTGAAGCTTAAGATTGCACTCTGATGTTTAGAGGCAATCATTGATGAAATGTGAGTTGAGATCTTGAGTTGAAATATATTCATGAATAATGACAAAACTGTGCAAGTTCACTTCTGATGAATCTCTTCATTCCAAAAAATATGTCAGAACTCATAAATTTCAGGATTCTACAGAACTTGGAACATGTTACTACAAATTCTGAATCTCAAATTATCTGTGGAATATGACAATTCTGGAGTGTATGCACTTGTCATATGGAGTGTATGCACTTGTCATATGCTATTTTACTAATCATCCTTTTAGGCAGATTGGGCTCAAACATAAATAATACAGTGTTCCAAGAACATGTTGATGTTCTGAGGCACAATCAGTACTCAAACCACGAATCTATCCCATCTGATTGGAGAGACAGGTGATCAGGCAAATTGAGAATCCTGGGCACTCACTCATGGTCTAAAATGTTTCCTTTTCAATTCACTGCTGCTGGTCCAAGGACCACGTTTTGAGTAGGAAAACATGTGTCAAAGTAGAGCAAGTGATTTGAGTTTCATCTCTTCCCTAAGTTAGAAGGGGGCCAAGCTTTACAAGCTCTAGCTCAGCAGATTGTAAAGCACACAGGGTTTCTTCAGATACAAAGGCCCTGAAATACACACACACACACACACATATATTTCAGGGCTTCTTGATAATTAGACTGCTGTCACATAAGAACACAAGGCCTGAAATTCATTGATTAGGCAAAAAATTCTAAGCAAATTGAGAAAGAACAAATAGGAGGCAGGACAAATTGTTTTCAGAGGAGTGGTACTGCTAAAGGAGAGAATTAACTACTTTTAAAACATGTAAAACAATCACCAGTAATGGATTGAATAAAAATGTATTTATAAACACATCGTGGGAACTAAGTATGTAGGCAAATAAAAGAAGGTGAAGGATGTAACAACAATCTAAGCTGAAACCTGGAATAAATATCTTAAAACAATAAATATCTTGAAAGCTATTATGGACATGAGTATTTGAGAGTAGATCCAGGATAGCCAGTATGTTAAAATAATGAGATTTCCAAAGGAGAAAAGAGAAGAGTTGCCCCCAAAACCACCAAATAAGTTATTAGTTTATTATAAAAGTGGAAATTTACAATGGAATTTTAGATAGTCACAAAAGAGAAAAACATCCAAACATATTCTAATAAAATTTCACAATTGCAAGAATTAAAAGAATAATTCAGAAATTTCAAGACAAAAAAATTACCTACAAAGAATAAAATTCACATAAATATCTGATTTTCATTTAAAACACAGGAAGCTAAAAATTGGTAGAGAATCATTAGTAAAAAGGACATCAACCCAAGCATGACATTAACTTCTCTGGATGAGACAAAGCTATGCCTAATTTTCAAGATATCAAACAGTAGGTACCACATATTTGCCCCATCTGAGGGAATGTGTATATAGGAACTCTAGCCCTTAAAAAAATAAAGTATCCTAAAGGTAGAATCATGCCAATGGAATTTTAGATAGTTGCAAAATAGAAATACATACAAACTTATTCTAATAAAACAGAACATCTTCCATATATATATATATATATATATAATGTGACTCAGCCTTTAATTATTATGCTAAGTGAAATAAGCTAATCCCCCCAAACCAAAAGCCCAATGTTTTCTCAGATATGTGGCTGCTAATTCACAATGGGGTTCTTTAGATGAGTTAGAGGGGAGTGAAAGAGGGTAGGGTAGGAAGGATCATAGAATGAAACATTCATTATTACCCTATGTGCATATATAATTATATGATTGGTGTGATTCTACATCATGTACAACCAGGACAATGAGAAATTTTATTCTATTATACATGATATAGCAAAGTATATTCTAAACAAACAAAAAAGTGCATTATACTGTCATGTATAAGTAATTAAAACAAATTTTAAAAAATTAAAAGCAAACAAATCAGAAATGAAACTTCAAATAGTGGAATAAGAATTGGAAAGCAAACAAGAGTGATAAATTTTTCAATATAATCAAAATACAAGTGGGTAATCAGAGTATGACTAGGATGTGGGATTTAAACACAAAATAAGTATTATTAAATTAGGAAGGACAGAGTGCAGGAGAACCCTAAAATATCACTAAACCAAAAGTACTAAAGGAAGGAAAAAATGAAGAGTTCGAGGAAGCAGATAGAGATAGAACATAAATGCTGGTTTTGGATGGTGTAGTGTGGGGCACTGTGGAAAAGAAACCAGCTCTACTGGTGTATCTGGTTTGGAGAAAGAGAAATTATTGGGGAAATAATACATCATGGTCAAGAGAATGCCTCCATCATTTAAAAATAATTAAAATATGTCTATATTATCAAATTCAGGAATAAAACTTAACTATAAATAATGTAAGAGTATTGTGATACTCCTAAACACACAGGTAATGAATAATTGCTTGACTAAGCAAGTAGACATAGGAAAGAGGGACAAGAAGAAAAACGTGAATATTAGTTGGTTAATTGATGTAATGGGAGGGATCATGTGTCTAATTTATCTTGGTAATGTGAGAGTCTAGACCGTGGTGTATGCTGATGCAAAACATTTATTAGTTGAGTGAACAAATGATAAGTGTGGGATATATCTTCTTGGGCAGATTAGTGATATTATAAGCTAACAGCATTTTACATTAAAAAAAATACTGAAACCTATGATTACTCAATTACCACTTCTATTGGTCACCCTTTCCTTGAGTCTTCATGCTCAGAATTAAACATCTATAGAATTGATACAAAAATGCATTGGAATAGCAATTTTACATTCCCATGCTGGGTAGAGTTGCAATACTTCATTTTTTTACATCCCGATGCTGGTATACTACACCCATCCAATTTTCAAAACAGGCAAGAGAGAAAAGGCTCTCAGACTTATATAAATTAGATTCCTTGCTGTTGCCAGCAGAGTCCCAGGAGCCGTGCTGGAAGCCGGCCATGTCCACTGGGGAGGTGAGCATCTTCTGCATGTGGGGCATCTCCCCTAGGTATGGCGGGAGACAAGATGAGAAGTGGAGCTACTCCTGAAGCTGCTGCCAGACCCTGAGCTCGGGTAAGAGGGCACAGGCACCGGCGGGGACTTAATGGAGGCACTGGCGTCCAAGAAAGGGTGACGAAAAAATTCCTCGAAGTCCATGCGGTCTTTGTGGTT